CCATACCAATGAATATACTTACTCAGCAAGCTCTTCACATTTTAACCAAAGCTTATCCAGCTAGCAGCCCATGTTTCAAAGGGATAACGAGCCCTGGTCCCTGCTCATTAAGCGCTTGGATTAATGCTTCTGGCCATTCATTCATTAGCAGATATATTGCTGGGTATTTCCCTTTGGATCCCCACAGCTCTATCTTTGCCTCTAATTATTCTCTCTCTCTTTTTTTTTTTTTTTTGGCTGATTTTACAGCTTTGTTCCAAGCAGATTGATTAAGCGTGGTGGTGTCTAAGAGTAAATCCCGCTGGACTCCTTCACCCCTGTGAGCCCCCTGCAGCCGCAGGAGGGGCTGGGGGCGCGGCAGGCGCAGGGTTTGGCCCAGCACAGCGCTGGCAGCGTTAGAGATAAGCGTTACAGATAAGCGAGCCGCCTTATCTCTGCAGAAGGCGTGCATTTAATGATCGTGTGTGTGTCTGTGAGTGTGTGTATGTGTGCAAATCCGGTTGGTTGCGCGCCTAACGCCACAAGAAAATTAAAATAAAAGAGAAAAAGGAGGCAGAAGGTGACAACTTCAGGCATATTCCCTCAGGAACTTCTCCCAACTCCAGCCCCGAGCCCCTGAGGGAAGGGAGGGAGGAGGGGAAGGGGGGGAGGGGGGGGGGCCGGCTCCAGCGCCCTCCCCTCGGCCAGGCCGCAGCCCGCGGGGCCTCCACGGGGCCGGGCCGCTCCCCGCTCCCTCCCAGCAGGTGCCGGCCGGGGTGGGTGAGGGGACGAGGGGGTGCGAGGGGCAGGAGCCGCGGGCTCACCATGAGGAGGACGAGGCGGCCGGGCTGAGGCGGCGGCGGGAAGATGGCGGCTCTCATGGTAGGTAGACCAGGCGGCCGTGCGGGGCGCGCGGCGGCTCCCAGGCGCTCGGCGGCCGCGGCGGCTCCGCAACTTCCCCCGTCGCCAGGAAACGCCCGCGGCCGGCCCGGGGCCGCCGCCCGCCCGCCTGCCCGCCTCCGCCACTCGCTTCCGGCGCTGCGGCCTCACGGGTAATGTAGTCCCGGAGTCGGGGGCGGGAGGAGGAGGCGCGGAGGTGAGGAGCGGGGCGCTGCCGGCCGAGCGGGGCTCCCCGCGGGGCGCGGCTGCGCTGTTTGCGTAGCGGGAGGGCGCGCGTTGCGGCGGTTGCGCAGCGGGCGGGTGGGGGGGGGATAGGGGAGGGGGGGTGCGTTCTGCGGCCCTCCTGGGGTGGGATTAGGGATTATGGATTAGGGGTGGGATGAGGGGATTAGGGGTGGGATGAGGGGTTTAGGGTGCCTCGCTGTGTCCCCGCCGAGCGCAGGAAGCCGCTCTGTGGTCTGAGCGGTGCTGGGTGGGGGCTTGCGGAGCGCCCGCTGCATCACATTGTGGGGGTGGGATCCCCAGTGGTGTCACGGGCTGGGTCACACCGAAAGTTCATCTTCTTGCAGTAAAACTTCAGGTTTTGCATGCAGGGTTTGGTCAAACTGCTGGTGGGAAGCTGCGCCTGGCATGCCTGGCATGGCCAGCATGTACACAAGGCGACGAGGAAGCGTGAGGAGGGAAACAGCACAGCCATATCACAGACAGCCCTCATGTCAGGTTACTGCAAGGCAGGCCCCCTTTGGCCACGAGGAAAAGTTGGGCTCGGTCTCTGGCATGACCCTACAAAAACCATTTGGCCCCTCAGTTTCACGTTATATATGTGTGTGTGTGTGTATACAGCATGTATGCATATATACACACACATACATCATATATCATATCATCATAGAATGGCCTGGGTTGAAAAGGATCTATAAAGATCATCTAATAAAGATCACCTTATAAAGATCAACTAGTTTCACCCCCCTGCTCAGGGCAGGGTGGCCAGCTACTGGAGCAGGCTGCCCAGCGCCACATCCAGCCTGGCCTTGAATGCCTCCAGGGATGGGGCATCCACAGCAATTTTAGCAACCCTGTGTTTTGCTGAACAGAACAATGCTGTCATCCCGATTATCTGTGTAACACAACGTGCTATGAGCGTAGTTTGGTGTGAAATTTCATATAACTTCAAGTCCTCTTGCTGTTCCTACGACTGTCCCTGCATTTCTGATGTCCTGATATAGCTAATGTTTCTGTACATGTTAGGTGAAAAAGAGAAAGTGAATGATCTACTTGATTACGCTAATATAGTGTATGTTACAAATAATGCCAATTATATAACTTTTTATAAACATATCATGTAGTTATTTCCTGATTTTTTTTAATTGTTGTTTTCATCCTGTACAAATACTGCACCTCATTTTGTTGTTAATGAGGATCTTTATCAAGCCAGATATCTTCATCTGGTATATTCCGTATACCAGTTCATCTGTTTGTCAAATACACCAGATATCTGAGGAAAGTTACATATGTTCCTTTTATAGTTCCTCTTAATATTTGAGGAAAATGAGTGAGGAAAAGTTTCACTTGGAATGAAATGTATGAATTGCATGTCCTCAACAGGCAAAACAGCAGATTTATCGAGGCACTAGAAAGGTTTGAAGACATGTTTTCTTTAAATTGAAAACAGTCATGCTTTGGGTCTTAAAGTATAGTTTGGACTTGTTCGGGTTTATGTGAGCTCTGTCCACCCTGCATTGTTATATGTGCATCTGCACTTTTATTGACTTTCTTAAGCACCAAGTCAAGTGGAGCTTTTCTGTCATTTGTTAGTGGTGTTTTATGGCACTTTCTCCTTCTTCCATGGCCTTAAGGCTGGAAATGTTCTTAACCTCCTGTCACATTAGACTCCCTTCTGTTGTCTGCTGCTAGAAGTTAATAAAGCCTCAAATCCATCAATGACTTTGTTTAGGAGGAAGATCGTAGAATCACAGACTGGTTTGGGTTGGAAGGGACCTTAAAGCCCACCCAGTTCCACCCCCCTGCCATGGGCAGGGACACCTCCCACCAACCCAGGCTGCCCAAAGCCCCATCCAGCCTGGCCTTGAGCACCTCCAGGGATGGGGCAGCCACAGCTGCTCTGGGCAGCCTGTGCCAGTGCCCACCGCCCGCTGAGCGATCACCTAGTCGTGTGGTAAAATAAGCATGCAAAAAATGTTTGGTGGCTTTTCTGGAATGTAGAGAGGTTCACTGGTAAGGAAGGAAGCGTTTGTGACTTCAGGAGAAACCTTGTCCTTGTCACATTCTGGTGAGGTTTGCAGTGGGAGAGGAGAGCTGCAGGACAGGAACGCAGTGTTACATAGGTTTCACATGACCAGAAACGGATCTAGAACTATTCATGAGCAAAAATACTTTCCTAAAGTTACAAGGAGCTCATCCTCATGCAAATAAGTGTTGCACTCCCACAGCCGGTCACTTCAGACAAATGCTGGGCATGCTTGGTGTTGACAAGTTGATCATTGGGTAAGGGACTAGGGTGATCCCTGAAATCATTTTGTAGGGGACAACAAAAGTTAGGTTTGGGTAGGTTTGGGGATATATATATATATATATATATATGTATTTTAAAGTCTGGCAAGCCTTTGGTGGAATGCATGTTTCTGTAGTGATTTTATGAGGTAAAAATTTCCCAAAATTCTGTAGACAGTTAACTGTGGCAAGATTTGAAGATAGACATTCAGCTGTTTGATAATTTTGGAGAAAATCGAGAAGTTTTTGAGCATTCTGAAATACAATGCAGACCTGAGCTGATCATTGGCAAGATCTTGTGGCACTGGTGGTGCAGTGAAGATAGTAATTCTGGTTCAAAAGAAACAAGGAAGACAAGTGTATTAGACGTGATTTAGGAAGGAAATAAAGAAAGAAGAGAATGCCATCCTACCATCGTAAAATCCAGTTTTTGCCTACATCTTGAATACCTGGTGGAGTTTGCTTTACATCTCAAGGGGAGTGGATATAACACAACTGGGACAAGGTCCAAATGAAATGGTCATACATACAGAAATGCTTCTGCCTGGGGAAGACCTAAATGAAGTACAACTCCTTCAGCTAAAGGAAGATATGATTGTGGAAGATGTACTAGAGATGTGTAAAACAATTACCAGTGGATAAAAACTGTTTACTGTTCCTTCCAGTACAAAGGCTAGGGGTCTTCACATGCCAAGAGCCAGCTCAAGATAGATGAAGGAAAGCAGTTCATCCATACAGGGTTTGGTTGTGCTGCAGAACTCCTTTCCAGTGGGTGCTCCAAGTTTACATTAAGCTTGAAGAGGAGACTAGACAAGTTTATAGAAGAGACACTTGTTGAAGAAAATTAACAGAATTTGCTGAGTTCTAAATACACAAAAATCAAGTCCACTTCAGGAAGTGACTGAGCCTAGAAGTAATTATAGGCTGGGAGAATACTTAGAAGGGAAGGATGAAATCAGACATATATTAACACTAGTTTTTGGCATTGGACCAGTTTGAGACAGGATTTAGGACCAGGCTTTTGATCTGATTCATTGTGGCTTTTCTTACACATATTTTTCTGCTTCTGTTCAGGCTTGAAGCAGGCTTAGGATCTAGAAAGCTGGTCTGATTATTTCAGTTGTGCCGCTTGGTCAAATAAAAGATACTACTTCTGGTTATAAACCTTGTCGTGCATATGTTCACAGACTGTTACAGCAGGTGGCCACCAGATAGCAAGTACTGGACGATATCAAGTCGATACCTGATAACAAACTTCGCTGGTTATTGAACCGAAGCGTGCATGTCAGCACTCTGAGGAAGGGGCTGTTGAATTTGTAGATAAGCGCTGTCCTATTTGCAGACTTTTGCAAAGCTTATTGACTGAAATTTATGTCGAAGGCAACAAAACTGTAAAATATATATAGCCTCAATATAGGCTTTTTCTGTCTGAATCTTGACTAGGGGTAGATTTAATCCATGAAATATAAATGTGTTTGTTCTATCCTGTCTTTTTAATGGGATGGTTTATTTTCTTCAGCATTGTTTGAGTACTTTTAGCATTATAGCAATTCAATTGTATTTCTTTCTTTTTCCTAGAATTGAATTCTTACCAAAAAATGCTGGTGGTGCAGATCTGACCTATGATAATACCTTGAAAGAGTATGAATATTTCAGCAAACTGCCTCTTCAGTGGTTCCTCATTAGCATCTGAAGTGCATGCCGCTGCTGTTAATGGAGATAAGAGTACCCTCCAAAAGCTAATAGCAGGTAAATGTTTTCATTGTAGGTGCATTTTGATGACTGCTTCAGGACTGAGGCTTTTGGGTTTGGCTTATTGCTCTGATCCTTAAGATATTTTTTTGTTTCTTGCTTATACAGATTTCTAGAATAAATGTAGTTTTGAAAATAGGACTGATTTTTCTGACCATTTATTATTAACTGTTGCCTTTGATTGGTACTTCCAAGTGAAATAAAATAGAAAATTGGTAAGTGATACATCCAGAAGAGTTATTCAGGACTCCTGTTTCAGGGAATTTAAAATTCTGGAGAAGTGCTCTGGGCTGAAATATTTTGGCTGCGTATCCTTATTTTTTTTAGAATTATTGATTGACTTTTTTTTTTTTGTAAAAATTGATAAACTTGTTTTTCCAGTTGATTTGTGTAGTTAATCGAGTCTTGTCACTGCTTAGAATTTTGGGACAAAATAAGTCCTGTTTGTTGCTTTGATGCTCATACACTAATGTTTCTTGAGAGAAATGAAAGTGAAGGAAAGAGTCTGGCCCTATGGAAGCTGAAGTTTAAAATTTCCCATCCATTAAAAAGCCCAAGATTTAATCTTCCCTCTCTGTCCAGAGGCTGGTAGGTCTTTCCAGGTTAGTAGTTTCCAAAAGCAGCGTATGTGCTGTGTTCCAAAAACAATCTTAGACACATTTGGAAGGCTGCCCTGATGAAGACTATGCTTATCAGCATTTCTGATTAAATACAATTCCAGCTGATACTGTAAAAGTTTTATTTGGTCAGCCTATATGAAAATTCCATTCCTGAAGCTTGGTGACTGTGAAATAATAATAATAAAAAACCTTATTCTATGCCATTAACTGTCAGTTTTAATGGCTATGATGGACTTGATGGTAATCACCTTAAACCAACAAACCAGTATTTGTGGAACATTTTATAAACAACAGCTGGGCAGTCGATATGCAGATGCTTCTAGAAATCTGTGGGATGCAACTACTTTAAATACATGTTTTTAGAAGTTCTCTGCCTGCACAGGGAGGGGAGAAGGTCTGAGCTTTAAAATCCTGGCTAACAATCAGAAGTGACAAGAAAGTTTGTGCTGACTTCAGTGTGTTTTTATTAACCTCACAGCCAAATGACATATGTTGAAAACACAGAGGAAGAAGTACTTTTGTACTGCTGGTATACCTCATCAACTATACTGCAAAACAGATGTTAGAACAGACATGGAAATCACTCTTCTTCTAAAGATGATCATGCAGCAACAAAATAAAAACACTTTGTGTTATTTGTACACGGGAGAAAAAGCTACGTGATCCTTGCAGTCTTTGCTCTAATGGCAGAATTTGGCTCTTGCACTTTGTTATGTCTTGACAGGATATGACACAGACTTTTCTTGTCCTGTCTGGGCAAAAGCAAGAAGTATTGCCTAGCAGAAGAAGAATGCATCAGAGTAATATTTTTAGCTGTTTACCAGGCGCTGTTGAAAGTATAACTCAATGCCAGAAGTAAATTGAGCAATTGGCGTTATTCGCTGAACTTGATGACTGCACTTAGCAGCATCATATAATTCAGGACAGTACATCAGTGTCGTGTGCGGGTGCAGGGATTGCTTAATAACATGATGCTAACACAGCTCGCCTTTGCGTCGGATTGTGCTGATAGCAGTACGTCCAGTAAGATCAAGTCTTGCTTTCTCCTTCTTTTAGGGAGGGAATTGATTCACTGTTTTCCTCCGAGATTTCCCTTTTTGGTTGCTGACATAGGAGGGGCATGGAGTTGGATTAAACTCTCTCTTAGGAAAATAGCAGCCTCTCTACTCTGTTTGATAGTTACTTCTTTTCCCACCTGCTGCAGCTTATGCAGCCTGTGTGACTGTGTGCAAACATATACACTGTATTTTTCTATAATTCATAAATACGGACACATCTGCCCCCCTCACCAGTAACATGTAATTTCAAAGGAGCAGGTGTTTGAAATAGTACAGTGTACATTAGATACTATGTTCTTTTTGACATCCCGTAGCAATTAATGAGCGTAAATAGACAAAAGCAAAAGGTTAGAAGAAAAGTTAAGAGAAAGGGGATTTTGGTACAAACTGTCCCTTTATATTAACCAGACCTGATGCAGGACTTTTTAAGCAGCTTATAGGTTAAGTACCATAAAGCACTACATAAATGAAGTATTTAGTGTATAATCCATATGCTAACTCTTTGCATTACGTGAGTTGACAAGTACTGTATCACATTGTTCTGGAATTGTATGATCTAAGGCTTTGGGGAATACTGACAGTATTTTCTGGTTGTTTTTTTGTTTGTTTTTCACAACACTGAACATGTATTTAATTAACATTACCTCCAGTGCTTCAGCACATCTGTATCACTTTAATCTTACACAAAAAGGGAGTAAAAGTTAATTTTCTGTTTGGAGGGTCATTTTTGCTTTTAATGCTTTTTATGTAGAGTTTAGGGAAGATGCATCTAATTCTTTAATTATTCATAGGAACACATAAATATGCATAATTGGCATTTATACTCAAAGGTCCATTCAGTCCACCTCCTCATTCTACAACCCTTATTATGTACCACTCAGATACAAGTATTTTTTAAACATCTGCTGTGATGTTTTATTTTAAACATTAATTATACATTCTCAGTTGCAACTATGCAGTTCCATGCTTTTGATTGATTCTTCTCTCTGCTTCTCTTCCATATTCTGCAGTGGGGAAGCGTGAATAAACCTCAGGTCAGGTATTACAAAAGGCAAGATTCCTGCCGGATACAGGAGACGATCTGTCTTTTAAAAATACAACAGACTTCAGGTCCTACTCCTGTCCTCTCTCACTCCTGCTATGGTATGAAGAACACAGAGAAAAGTTAGTGTCTGATGTGACTGCTTGCATAGCCTGTGAGGAAGCAATGAGGTCTGAAAGTGGGAGTTACATTTCAGAGCTGGGTTGCTGCAATCCCGTGGTGTTCCTGACCCCTGTTGGCAACCAGATTGTGAAATGTGTAATATGGGTGGGGTGGGCTGAAGGTGTTGATCGTGAAGAGGGAGGGATGAAACAAACTTCATTAGGCAGGCATGTGGAAGAGGATTTCATTTATACACAGCACATTTTAATTACACCAACGTGTAAATATTTAGAAGGCTATCTGTGCTATCTTTTGGAGCTTAGCCAGTTTAGGACCTGCTGGTGATAGAGTAGCTCCTGGTCCTTGTCCTGTCTCCTACCCTGAGCACAGAGAGGTCCCTTGAAAAACCCACAGGACTCTCACCATTCTAAGGGCCCTACAGAGGCTTGCAGGCAAAGAAAATAATAAAGAAGAAAACTGTTGCTGGCTGAAAATAGTTTGTTTACCTTAAAAAGCAGTCAAATCACTGGCATAAAGTTTTGAAAGTCTTGCTCATTTTTTGCTCAGACTGCGTGCAGTCATGGAAACCCTTTGTCATCAGCGACATCATTGTTTGCGAGCTGGAGGGAAAAATAGATGCCTGTTGCTCCATTTGAGCAGGGTTGCACTTGAGCTTTACACCATTTTTGCTATTCTTATCTTCACCCATTTCTTTTAGTCTCTACATTCTGTGTGTCCTCTAACATTTTGTAACAGAAAGGCAACTTGGAATTGGAAACTTAACTGCTGAATTAAGAACAAGTATCATGTGAGCAGAAGCCACGTACATATGTCTGACTGGGAGAAATGCAAGCTTTTGTATTTCTGCTTAAAAATGTATGTGATTGTGCAAGTCCCATCAGCTGCAATATATTTAAGACACTGAGGCTCTGTTCACACTGAGCAGTGGAGTATAGTGATGTCTATATTGTCAGACTAAACTACTAATACTGGAAGAACTATACTTCATTAGCTAGAGGAACTGGCATGTTTGTTGGGATCAGTGCCGTGCTAGCTTATGGTTTGAAACTCATTTTGTGTACGTTGCTGCACAGGGCTGCGTGGCTCTTCATAGCTGGCTTTGATTTTTCCGTAGTATCCTTTGTAAAACAGCAAAGGTATAAATTTGAAAAAAGCATTTATTGTTAGCTAAAATATTGAGATGTAAGACATCAACAGTTTCACAATATATAAAGCTTAATTTATTTTGTTTCTAATAGAGGAAAGAATTACCTTGAAATTGTAATTGTACAATGAAGTTGTCATACTTTGGAATGAAAGGCTAACAAAAATTTTCACAAGTTAAGGAAAATAAATAAATAAATAAATAAATATTGTATTCCCTTGTTTAACTCATGTTACATGTTGAATTATTTTCCTAATGAACATGATGTTAATTAAAAAAGCGATGTTCCTTTCTGTGTACTGCTTTCTAATGCACTTAGTAAAGAGTACAACATTTCGAGCAGAAGTAAAGAATTAAGGGCTTCAGAAATGAAATTGAGGTAACACTTAAGTGAATATTTAAATACAAGTGCTTTTTTCTCAAAGTTTTGGTTAAAAATTAGAATTTAAAGACAGTAACAACTGTGTATGTAGTATTAGTAAAATTACATTGCCTATTTATTTTTTCATGTCAAAATGTAGTTATATATAATAGAACTTAAATAATAATCAAAGATCTTTCAATTTAGCTTTTAATTCACCTTTAGAAGCATTAGAAACTACATTTTTGAAAGTCTTAAAATCACTTTTAAATATGCTACCATAAAATTAAACCTCTTTAATGTCTTCTGTTTTGATGTAAAGAGCAATGAGTAGGGTAGAAGCAATACTTCATCTTCTCCAGATTGTTCAGACCAACTTCTTACGTAGCTTTTATACTTGGCCCAACTGGAAAAAAAAATGCTTGTATAAGTTTACAAATATGACTTTCCATTACTTGGTTTAATTATTTATTTATTTATTTTCTGAAGAAGAAAAACATATTTGGTCATTTGTTTACTGAAAATCTGAGACTCAGCTGTTACGTTCATTACGTGAAAATTTCTAAAGGGAAAAAAAAAATAAGAAGAGGAAAGCTGTCAAGGGTATGTGCAGTTCCCAGTGGCTTATCTACAGAAGGTGGAATCACAGCTATTCTGTATCCTCACTGAGGTAATAATACGGTAGGAGAAGATAGCATCCTATTCAAGCAGGTTGAAGTTGCATAGAAATACAAAACAAATATATACATGGTAGGAGTCTAAAAAATGAGATGGGAGAAGTAGATGGCATGCTTTAAATGGGGCTGTTGATAATACAGTAAGAATGTAAGATTTGTGGAAGGGAAGGCATCAATGTGGATAACAATTTTTTCTATGTACTTTGTATTCTGATACATCAGTGGAAGCCATGTAGGTGAACGAGTGGTGATACACATTTGAAAACCAAAGCAGAAAAGAAATCTTGATTTCAAAGAAAATTAATAAATGACTAAATAAATAAAGATAAATAATAATAATAATGATTTCAAGTCTAAGAAAGAATTTATCATGTTAACGTTCTTTTGCTCTCCCTCCAGCCAGAGGGTGATGTGTCTGACGTGCTAAGGCAGATCGGAGAGCCTGAACCGACAGGAAGCACAATAGCAATGAAGGTTACTCTCCTGTATTGGGTAAATGACATACTGAGGATCTAATCCTAAAATTAAATTGTTAGGAATTGTTAAGGAGTTGACAAGTGAGATTTTGGTGAACTCACAACAGGACCAGCTCATGAGTTGATCCTGATCATTGTGTAGGACCTGCATCAGAACGCTACTGAGAGAGATTTTGTAACCCTTGACCAGAGTGTGCATGCATAAGCAACAGCAATCTGGTATATATGGTAACTCTAAAAATGGTGAAGGACGTTAGAATAAAAACACTTGCTAAGAAGAATCCAAAGATGAGTCTGAAGAGTAAACTCCTTGCTTTCAACGTGAAGCAAATGGAAAATCACTTCTCAAAAGAAACAGTTTAGGAAGGTCAAGGGGAAGCAAGCATGGGTTAGCAGCAGTGTGAGGGTGGATGTTGAAAGCAAGAAGGTGTTCTTCAGAAAGCATAATTGGTCTCTGAGGAAGTTAGAGGTAAAAAAAAAAAAAATTCTTTGGGAACAATTTGCTGGAGGCTTAAAAATTAATTATAAAACTTGTTTTAATGTGAGCATGACATGTCGCTCTAATAGATTGTCAAGATGGTGGGGGAGTCAAAGAAGACAAAGCCGTAGACGAAGAACAAAATGAATTTTTCTGCATCTGCATTCACAGAAGAGCTTAGAAAGATTCCTGAAAGCTTATTTTTTTGCAGAACAGAAGGGCCTTTCTCCATGCAAATCACAGTCTCTAAGCAAGAGAAGGTATTACAGGATGAATCATCAGATCTACCTGGTATTCACTCAGCAGTTTTAAAGGAACTCAGAAATGAAGCAAGTGAGCGAATGATTGCTGTACCTGGTAATACCATGCTTAAGAGTGTTTTTTTTTTTGGTGAGAGGCTTGGTTGGTAGGGAACAAATGTTAGTCTTTAAATATGGATCGAGGGGAGTATCAATCTGCTTGACTCTTCTACGAGGTGAATCAATTGAAATTATAATTAAGAATACAATTACTGGATATGTAGATAAGTATAATATGCTGGGGGGAGTGGAGATTTCTATAAAGAAAGGGCATTGCTCAGCTGGAGTTCTTTCACAGCATCAACAATCACGCAAACAAGGGAATATTTAAAAAGAAAAATGAATTTACCTGTAAAAGTTCAGTGTTCCTTGAGTAACCATAGATTACAGTCCCATGTGGAAACAGAAATATGAAACTTTGTAGTGGGGGATGCACACTGTAAATTTTTTTTGAACTCTGAATAGGAATACAGTGAATAATCTTTTCAATGAGACCTCAGACTTCTTATTTACCCTAATTGCTGCCTTGCTAACCATAAAAATTCAAGAAAGATCAACAAATATTTTTGTAGTTTCATTTCATAAGGCACTATGAAGTAAATAATGGTATTGATGCACTATTGTCATCTTTATGCTTTTTAAAGAAATACTGCAGTGAATAGGCTTCAAAGCTCATTTATTTACAGTGTTTACAGATTTCATAAGGAGTTTGGTTTACATATTGTTGATATTTTTTAAGTAATCTTTACAGCCAAGCTCTGTATAACTATTCTAAAACGATTTATAATTCTGCCACTGCAGAAAGTTACTGGTAGTAGGTGTATTTGTGGAGCTGATGTTTTCTAGATGTATGTTTTTCTGTCAATATATTTTGAAATGTCCTCTAAATGTTGGTAAAAAAAAATAAGGTGAAAAGTAATAACTTTGTTTTTATGTGATACTCCATTAGTTTGCTCATCCTGTTCATTTATGATAAAAGTACTATTTTACCTGAAAGTGCCCTTTAATGAAAAGGTACTATTTTTAGTTAGATACTCATAGAATTATTTGATTTATGTTATTATTTTTATTTTTAGGAAACTCTGAGCTGAAAGATAAAGAGGACCAGTTTGGAAGAACTCCTCTGATGTACTGTGTGCTGGCTGACAGGCTGGACTGTGCAGAGGCTTTGCTGAAGGCTGGAGCAGATGTTAACAGAGCTGATCGTAGCCGAAGAACTGCTCTCCATCTTGCAGCACAAAAGGTAATTACAAGGGAAGTGCTCTGCTGTTATAGAAACGTAAGGCGTTCGCAACAGGTATAAAGGAGGTTTTCTTGTATTGAATCAGCTTCTAGTGTTTTTAGAGGCTTTCATTAGTGTAAGAGGTCAATAATGCTAAACTACATATATTTAATCAGCGTAATTGTAGCTGTCTGAAGAGACAGCTCACTGATGTTTTTAAGAACTCATACTCTCTAGGAAAAACGAGCCGTGTCTAGGTTGGAACAGCCAGTTCTAAGATTGGATTCTGTATACTCTCACACTTCTTAGGACATCACCATTTATTTCAGTGGATATAATACTGTGTATTTTTAATTGTTAATGCTATGGCTGAGACTGCCATGGCTACAGAATACCAAATCGGTGCCAGGACCAGGAAGGAAATGCAGTGCTATTCATTTTTCCTTCCACAATTTTAGTCTATAATACTGTCCTATTACATTGTCCCAGTGAAGAGGCGCTAAAGGAAGATTTTAGCAATAAAAGGGAATTTAAAGTATAATTTCAGAGCTGCAGTAGTTCCTCTGTGTTCAGTACTGGGGGAAGTGTCTGCAGTCACAGGAGAATTAACAAACTGCGGAGGGAGGGGAAGAGAAAGAATTGAAGAAGAAGCAGCCAAAGGTGGGTTGTCAAGCTAGTCAAGATGTGAGTTCATAAATTATGAAACAGTCTACAGAGAAGATTAAAAATTCAAATTTGAAAGAAACATCTTATTTATTGTATTACTTTTATACTGCATTTAAAACAGTAACTGTTCAAAAGCTGGAGTTGTTTTGATCATGTAAGCTGTCTTTTGTTCCAAGTTAGAGAGTGACTGCCTTGAGTTTTGTAGCAAACATCTATTTTTCATGACTTGTCACCTGTTCACAATCATCCAGGTTGTTTAACTGTTCTACTTCCTAATATACCCTACATTTTTTTTTTTGTTTTCATTTTAATCGGGTTTACATAAATGTAGCTATGGTACGGTCACAGTATTTAGTGAAGAGAAGTGTCAGATCAGAGACTTTTAAAATTGCTTTAAGGTACTATTCTTGCCGGGTTATGTTTGCTTTATATTTTATAACCTGATGAGCAAGGGAATGTTTTAATCATAGTAAAGACATAACTTTTTAAGTTAAAATTTCCAGGTTTTTAAAAGGCTTTTCTAGCATATTAATCCAGTATATTTTTCTTGCTTAAATCTGTGTCTATATGTTGATATAGTGGATATTTGTATTACAGCTGTTCAAGGCAAAGAGATATTTTGCCCTAGTGTAATATCCATTAATTGCACGTGCTCCTTCGTTCCTTCGTCATGCTGCAATCGTGAAGGGGCGGTTTGGTCCATGGGACACTTGGCCCATGTTAGATGTGTTTTCTGTTGGCAATGCAACTGTAAAACGAGGTACCATCATTACCTTCTGCTATTTTAATAGAAGGTTTTATGCAGTCACCCACTTAGTGCTTAATGTTTTAGATGCATTTCACCATCTAGCCACATAAGTGCTTGTGCTATCACAGTGCTAGGGTGGCAGAAAGTGGTCAGGAGACAGCCCTTGCAGCTGCTTTTCATTTGTCTGACTTAGCTGTACTATAAAACTGCATTCTGTGCCTTCTGAGCCGTTGCTCACTGTTGATGTCAGCGTATGACATTAAAATTTCATGTGTGTCTTCAGCATTTCCTTATTAACATTTTAATATATGCATTTCTGTCATGAATGCCTCCTGTAAAATATATAAAATTTAAATTCAAAACAACTTCGTGTTCCATACAGTTTAGGTTATTTAATTAATGTTTTGCGTTCTTCTTATTCCTCTTTGATACTTTTGGTTTATGTTATCCTCTTACAATTTTTTTTTCCCCGAAGTGAATGCTGAGACTTTCCTCTGTAACCAATACCAAGTGTTGGCCTTCAGGCAGAAAAAAGAAAAATGTTGTGAGATCACAGATTTTTCAATTTTACTGTCAATGTTGGTTAATCACAGATCTACATGTTTACCAAGGCCACTCTGTAGTTCTTGCTGTGTTCAGCTTTGTGAATCAGTCTGTCACTGTCCTGTGTTCCTTCAAAAACAGATTTATGTGGCTTTCCAAATGTCTGGTGAAAGGGGGCCTACAGGAAAGCTGGGGAGGGACTCTTTGTTGGGGGGTGGAATGAGAGGACAAGGAGTAATGGCTTTAAGCTAAAAGAGGGTAAATTTAGATTAGATATAAAGAGGAAATTCTTCTTTCAGAGGGTGGTGAGGCCCTGGCACAGGCTGCCCAGAGAAGCTGTGGATGTCCCAGCCCTGGAGGTGCTCAAGGCCAGGCTGGATGGGGCTTTGGGCAACCTGGTCTGGTGGGAGGTGTCCCTGCCCATGGCAAGGGGTTGGAACTGGGTGGGCTTTAAGGTCCCTTCCTGCCCAAACCATTCTGGGATTCTATGAACTTCAGTCATAGGTATAATAGGATGTTTAGAATCACATTGCTTGGAGATTTATGGTCCTGTTTGCACTTAAGTTGCCTCCTAATTTTAATTTTTTACCTGTGAGACCAGAGTAACAGCATTTGCAGCAGGAAAAGCAGTGGTCAAGGACCTTCTGCTTGGCTCTTACACTTTTTATGTTTTAAACTCTTTGCATTTGCTTGTCCAAATTCTGGGATATGCATTTTATTGAAAAGGAATTTTCTTCATCTTTGTTTCCTCTTGCTTTGTGACTCCAAAACTTGTCAGGCCTATGGATAAGAAAAACAATATACCACGTAGCAATTATCTTCTAGTTTTACATGAAAGATGCGGCTCAAATTGTTGTCTTGTGTTTAAAGTTGACTATAGTTTTCTAGAGAAATTATTACTTAATCTAGTTCCTACTTAGGATTCCTTCTTCCTTCCTTTTCTTTCATTCCCCTACTTCAGTGTGGTTCCTGTTACATGGCAGTCATGTTAATTTCCTTGGAATTTTTGGTTAATACTCAGATTTTCTGTATGTTGAATGTAATCATGGGACTTATAAATCATCTGTATGAAGTACAATGAATTTCACTTTACCTGCCTTTCTCTTCTAGGATGCGTTTCTGGTTGGATAGGACTTAATTATGCAGGTGAAACATCCCTCCAATATCACTGGATAGTCTTGTCTGCCCCTTCTGGACCATGTAATAGCATGCACCACTTACAGGTCTAGCTTCTATGTGATCTACCTGTGTGATTTACAAACCTGGCTGTAATTGGTGTGTGTGTAAATATATATATGGACATACCGGGTCTCTATTACATCTTACTTTTATTAAAACTGGAAGATTTTATTTCATAAAAGCAACTCTTCCTATCCTTCAAATAGGGAAAAAATGCTAACAACAACATCCAGCGTTCAAAATCCTCATTTGATAGTGCAAAGTTCTTCCTAAATTAAAGGTAGGAATTACAGCATTGCCCATATAGTCGTAGAAGACATTATTGGATGTGAGAGAGAGTCTCTCAGTAGTTCCTTATTGTTTAGTATTTTATTAATGGCACCTCTAATTCCCTTTTAAGTAGTTACTTTATTATTTGTAGTTATGTGGTTGATCTCCCAGGTGTTCTGGTGCACTCAAGTGCTTTTCCTTGTCCTACAGATGTCCTAGAAGCCATCCTTCAGAACTGTGAGGTGTCAAAAACAGCTCTGTTTTGCTTTGGACATCAGTAAGCATTATCAAAGGTTCTGTGCTTGATACAAATACTGTTTATGGTCCCTGACAAAAATATTTCTGATGGCATAGCTAGGAAGACTGACCTATGCTATTCCATCTTCTGTCAAATCCAAGGGGTTGGTAAAGGTAAAAAGCAAAGGTGATCTGATAACTTCAGCAACTCTACTGCATATCTAGGTCATCTTTACCAATTCAGGAGGAAACTGAGGTGTCAAAACTCGAAGTCAGAATGTCATCCTTGTCTTGCCACGCTTCGTCCAAGTGACTTTTGTCACTGGGGAATGTCTATAAAGCAATAGTTACCTTGGAAGATGTATCAGGTTCTCAACAAAGGGTTCATGTCATTTCTCTGTCTCAGACTTCATTAAAATCATTTGGGACAATTCTCCCCTCCTGGTCCACCTAAGCCATCTTTCTCTAATAGCAGATTTGGCTTAAATGTTCTTACAGCTTTCTTTGCTGAAAGTTCCTGAAGTTAATTAGATGGGGTCAGAAATTTCAGCTGTTAATACTACTTGAAATATCAGTGCTTTCTGAAATCAACTGTGGTTATACATTGACATGGTAACCTTTGCTGATGGGTAGCTTAATGATAATAATTACCTTCTTAATGATAAGTCTTCCATGCTTTGCTTTACATGGCTGCTATGAGTTTCCCCTTTGTTAAACAGCCTACAAAAATAAATTAATGGATCTGTAAGATGATGGGGTGAGAACAATCTCATGTAAATGCAGGAATTTATATTTCAGACATCTAAAGCCAAGCTAGTCATCTAGATGACTTTTTATGAAAAATGATGAAAAGAAGTAGGCAATTCCTTGATGTAATTCATTCACCCTAAAGTATAGATGTCTACATTAGGACACATTGAGTAGCTGAATCATCCTTTTAGGCATCTAATAATGTAGCTTTTGATGCTGTATTGAGACAAACCTCATGCAAAGCATATGTTTTATCAAGTAATTTTCAACTCTTCATTGACATGATCTTTCCTACTATCTTTGTTTTCTTCATCAGTCTTAAGATGGAGCTGTTTCAGTCTTTTGTAGGCAGAAGGCCATGTAAAATGATTACCTGGGTGGTCTTCTGTGGGTTTTCCTTATTAAGGTGAAATGTTTTGGTGTCTCTGTTTAAAGTGGACAGGTGTCCCAGGCAGTATTAAGACCGTACTCTTAAAAAAAAAAAGAACGGGAAAGGTTAAGTCACTCATTTCAGAAAATTAAATAAAGAAAAACTGATAAAAATATTGCATCAGTACACCTGTGACGATTGCCAAAGGTGGTTCAGAGGACAGTCTGACTTCATGAACACGCGTGTGATTTACTGGGA